GGAGCTGCCGGGACTGGTTGTTCTGGGAGCACTACGACTGGAGCTGCTGGAGCTGGGGACTCTGGCGCTGGCGGTGCTAGCGGAGTTGGAGCTGCCGCCTCTGGGGGTACTCTTCCTAGCGGTGCTGCGGACCCTGGGGGTGGCGCTGCTGCTGGTGCTGCGGACCCACCTGGTGGAGCTGCTGCTGGAGCTGAGGACCCGAGCGGTGGCGCTGCTGCTGGTGCTGGGGACCCGGACGTTGGAGCTCCTGCTGGTACTGAGGACCCGGCCGCTGGAGTCTCTTCTGCTTCTGGAGACGCTGCGCGGCCGCGACCGTACTTCGTACCGCTCCTTCAGCAGGTTCTTGGGCAGGCTCCTCCTCCTTGTCCTCCTCCCTCCGTCGAGTGTCCTCCGCCTGTCCAGCCGCAGTCACAGTTACCGCCTACCTCGCCTCTCCCTGCTCCCTCTCCTTACACTGGTCCCACAGGAGGTCTTGCAGAGCGTCGTGAGCCTGAGTCTCGTCCCGCGTCGCCTGTCCGTACTGCTCGCACTGGTCGTCGTGTCCGTCGTGAGCGTCCTCCTCCTGTCCCAGGCACTCACTACATGACTCTGCGTCCCTCTACTGCTCCTCAGCGTGTCCCTCTGCCGTCTCCTCCTGCGTCCTCTTTGCCTGCTGTTCCGGACCCTGAGTCTGACCGGTATCGTGCTGAGCACCCTACTGTCACGCGTCTCCTAGCTACTGTTGTCACTGACCCTACCTTTGAGTCCTCGGCTGCGTCTGCTCTGGTCGCTGAGTTGGTTGACTTTGCTGCTGCCTGTCGTCTAGACTACGCTGCTCGCCTTGTTGCTGGGTCTGAGTCTGCGTCTGTCTGTCCTCCGTCCGTCGGGGGTGAGTGTGCTCTTGGCACGGACGTCCTTGAGGACAGGCAGGAGGACTTTGACTCTCTCGCAGCTGCTATACCTCATCTCGTGGCCTGGTTGCTTGCCCCTGAGGGAGACCCGGATGCACTAGACATCCCCACTCCGCGCACTTACGCAGAGGCGATCTCGGGTCCCTACTCCTCTCAGTGGCAGACAGCCATGGACGCAGAGATGGCATCCTGGAAGTCCACAGGCACCTACGTCGACGAGGTTCCCCCTCCTGGGGCGAACATCGTCGATGGCATGTGGATTTTCAGGGTGAAGCGGCCGCCAGGTTCTCCCCCTGTCTTCAAGGCTCGTTACGTTGCTAGAGGCTTCAGTCAGCGTCAGGGGGTCGACTTCTTCCAGACCTTCTCCCCCACCCCGAAGATGACCACTCTTCGGGTTCTGCTGCACGTTGCTGCTCAGCGTGACTACGAGCTTCACTCTCTTGACTTCAGCGCAGCGTTCCTGCAGGGCAGCCTGCACGAGGAGATCTGGCTGCGCCGCCCACCTGGCTTTACTGGGTCGTTTCCTCCTGGTACCCAGTGGAGCCTCCGCCGGCCAGTCTACGGTCTCCGCCAGGCGCCACGCGAGTGGCACGACACACTGAGGACTACACTTGCGGCTCTTGGGTTCGCGCCGTCTACTGCTGACCCGTCGCTGTTTCTGCGCACAGACACGTCGCTGCCGCCGTTCTACATTCTCGTGTACGTCGACGACTTGGTCTTTGCTACTGCTGACACTGAGGCACTCGCTCGTGTGAAGTCGGAGCTGCAGAAGAGACACACCTGCACTGACCTGGGTGAGCTGCGTAGCTACCTTGGCTTGCAGATCACCCGGGACAGAGCTCGCCGCACCATCACCCTGACTCAGTCACACATGGTGCAGCAGGTCCTTCAGCGCTTCGGCTTCCAGTTCTCCTCACCACAGGCCACACCTCTGGCTACCAGCCACTCGCTCTCAGCTCCACCTCCGGACGAGTCCGTAGAGTCGAGTGGCCCGTACCCAGAGCTTGTGGGCTGCCTCATGTACCTGATGACTTGCACGCGACCTGACCTCGCGTACCCTCTTAGCATCCTTGCTCGTTACGTTGCGCCTGGGAGACACAGGCGAGAGCACTAGGAGGCTGCTAAGAGGGTGCTGCGCTACTTGTGCAGTACATCAGGCATGGGGCTGGTGCTTGGAGGACGCGACAGAGTTGTCCTCACTGGCCACTCGGACGCTTCTTGGGTGGACGACCTGGCTACGCAGCGGTCGTCACAGGGTTACACCTTCAGCCTTGGCTCTGGTTCTGTCTCGTGGCGGTCCACCCGCTCTTCCTCTGTTCTCGGCTCTAGTTGTGAGGCTGAGATCTACGCCACAGCCATGGCTGCACAGGAGTTACGCTGGCTCACCTACCTGCTGACTGACTTGGGAGAGCGGCCTAGTTCTCCTCCAGTTCTGTACGGTGACAACAAGGCGGCTCTTGCCTTGTGTCAGGAGCACAGACTGGAGCACAGGACGAAGCACATTGCTCTTCGCTACTTTCTTGCTCGAGAGCTTCAGCAGCGCGGTCAGCTTCGGCTTGTGTACGTGGACTCGAAGGCCAACACTGCTGATATCTTCACCAAGGCGCTCCCGCCTAGTGATCATCAGCGGCACTGTACTTCTTTAGGCCTTGTGTCCACGTTTCCTCACTTGCTCACTGCTTGACATTCTTTGTACTGTACTTTATATATATCTTGTTACTTGCTTGCTAGGTTTTGATCACTGTGTTGTTTGTCTTGTACTATATCTAGCACTGCATGTGAACTGGCCTTGTGGCCTTTACTTGTGCTCGGAGCGTGGTGACGTTGTGATCCACCCTGGGCTTTGCTTTGCTTTGCTGGACTGGTCTTGTGACCCTTTGTTCTCCCCCACTTTGCCTATGGGGGTGTGTTAAACTGTATTATGCTTGTAGGCTGTAGTGGGGTAGCCAATATGGGGTACAACCCCAACTAGGGTTTCATATTTGTACCCAAACTTCTACTAGTTCATTCATTCTTGCCTAGTTACTTTGAGAACCACTGTTTTCGAGTCAAACTTTTTTCTTGCGCGGGAAATGCAACTGGAAAGTTAAGAAACAGTAACTTTTAGGTTTTTTTTCGCACTTCCCTTTTCCGCGATGTGGACCCCAGCACGCTGTGATTTCTATGCCGTCCCAACAGCACGTGATATAAAATTTCCAGCAGTTTCTAGTAACGATCCAAAGGTAGGGAAGCTAAATGAAGAGCGAACGGAGGGAGGCGGCAGAGCGGGTGCGGCGGCGGCGGCGGAAATGGCGGCATAATGTGCGACTGCAAAATGCAGCGCGAGCAACGTGAGGAGATGACGGGCCATGGATGTGGAAGCGTCGAGGAGGAAGCTAGTAAGTAGACCGCTTCACACAAACAGCGAGGCAATGGCAAAGAGGAAGCTGGTTGACGCTCGAGCGTGAAGCGAAGAGCGTCACGCTGCGTAAACGCTGCGTTCCTCCCTGCCAAATGTCTGCAGGAACTGAGCATGAAACCGCGGCTGCTTGGTGCACCATGCAGGAACCGTGCCCCGTGTACAACTTGTCCAGAATTGTTTTCACCATACCCGGCCTACCCGGCTGAATTTCGGAGCAACACTTTTTGGTTGTGTACACAACTCCAATTTTTTAAAGTCAACGTTTAACGCCGAGAACTTGTATGAAGTCAACGCTGTACAGTTTGCAAATGCAGGGGAGAAAATTCGAGAAAGTTTTTCATCCCATCCTCAGGGGCCAACATCATAGACATGCAAATCAATCTGGTAACCCTATTCGATGGTATGCAAAACCGTCGATACCCCAGTTCTGCTGCGCAAAATTGTCTGGTAGCGCCACTCAAAACACTGTAACAGCTGACGCAGCACAGAAAAGGAAGAAAATATGTGATAGAATCAGTTGCGTTTTCGATTTCTTATCTTCGTGGTTCTTCCCTCGTCTTGTTCGGCGCCTAACAAATATTCCTGCCGGCTACTATTTTCCGCTAAATGTGACGAAAAATCCACTGGAATGAAAGTCCACGGGGTCCATTTCGATAACATTAATTTGGACCAATATATTGCTACCGGGAAATGTAGGGGCAGGGCAGAAAAACAATAAAACCCCTAGCGACCTGGACGCATTTCTGGGAGGGATCAACCCTAAACACGGGAAAGGACATTGTTTTTAGGGTTGATGCCTCCCTGACGCATCCCTTTCCGATTGGGTTTAATTTTTTTCTTGGCCCGAAGAAATCACGTCTTAGCGCGAAGGCAAGCGCGGTAAAGATCAAATTTGAATTAAAAACGAACGTGCTTTCAGGGCAGCATGTCAATAACTTGCAAACAGAGGTAAGACGGTTTTGCATACCATTGGATAGGGTTACCACACTAATTTGCATGTCTATGATGTTGGCCCCATCCTCAGCGATCAATTCACCGCGAAAGGGAAACGCAGAATGAATCAATCAGCCCCTGGGCAACTGCACATTTCAGAGAGGCGGGGAATTGGGGGTGCTGCCGGAGTGAGGCGGCTGGGGGTGCCGCCAACAGAAATGCAGGTGGCAAGATGGCATCGGTGAAGGCTTTGCTTGAGCGTTGTGAAGCAGTCTGCCATTGCAGTATTGTTTTATGTACAATACATCAATGTTACACTCGAGTTTCTGATGACAGTGGAGTCCCGTACAGTAACAGTTCCGTACACTGTCAAGCAGATTTTTGTCGGTCAGGTGGGAAGGTGAACGGTTGCAATCGGGGTTGTTGCCATGGGGGCGCCAACAGAACTGTGCCAGGTGGTGGCGGGCAGGTAGTTGGTGGGCGGCAGAATGTCGTGGGGGGCGTGGCGGATACTGTACGGGCATTTCAAATGAAAGCGACTCGTAGAGGCGGCGTGGGACACGACACACTACCCAACAAAATTGCATTTTGCTTGGTAATAACAGCTTCGATACAGAGGTTACATGATGACGTGGGCGCTTGTCATTTACATAGGAGAGTAAGCTTGTAGGGATGCATAATTGCATCAATCCCCAAAAACTATCGTTATTTGGGAAGGTCGTTGTGCTCCTTAACACTCTTTTTTTTTTTTTTCTGGAAAAAAACCTTCTAAATAATCAACCTCCAATAACAGTTTTCCATAAGCCTGACCTCCGCGCCCACCAATCAGCATTTGTCATGCCGACCCCAGTGCCAACAGCCCCGTCACCGTCAGCCGAGGAGGTGCCTGCAGCGCCATCCATGCTTGCAGCGCGTGCACTGTTGAATGAGTTATCATAATCCGAGTCATCGCTGTAATCCGGCCCGCCACCCCACAGGGCCGCGGGCTTCTTGAAGCACGAAAAGTCCACCGCAAGGCCGCCCCTGGTACGGAACGAGGGGGGTTGGGGGAGGGGGCAGATATAAGGGAGAAGACGGGATTTGGCCTGGTAGCATCCAACATCACTGCAATCAGGCCCGCCGCCCCACAGTGCCGTGGGCTTCTTGAAGCACGAAAAGTCCACCGCAAGGCCGGCCCTGGTAGGGAAACAGGGACGGAGAGGGAGGGGGGAGCGCACGGGGACGGGGGGGGTTGTATCTTTTAAATGGTAGGGGAGTAACTGGTTACATGGGCTTGAAGGGCAACATTATGCCTCACCAGTCATGGAAGCAGGGTTTCAAGGTAGCAGTGTTACATGGTAACCGTGTCACGGGTAAACAGGGGCTTACTGGTTCCAGCCGTGGAAGGCGAGAGTCTTGGAGGCTGTGGTGCTGAAGGCATAGATGAGGTAGTTGGTGGCGTTGAGCTTTATGGGTACTGCTCCCTTGCCCACCTCGCGAGTGAAACTGAACAAAAGGGAGAGCGGGGAGAACACGAGGAAGGGGTTAGAGCAGAGCTGGGGGAGGAGTGGTGGTGGCTTGTGAGTGGGCTCCAGTGCTGATGCTGGGGGCATAGATGAGGTAGTTTGTGGCATTGAGCTTTAGGGACACTGCTCCCTTGCCCACCTCGCGCGTGAAGCTGAGAGGAGGGGAGAGTGGAGAGGGCAGAGGGGAGTGGAGTTCAGGGTCAAAAGAGGGAGGCGAGGTTTGAAGATAAATGACATCCCAACATCCCAAAAGAGAAACACAACACACCGCAACAGCGTGAATCACCTCCCACTGGCACACACGAGACAGCACGCACTCTACACAGACTCACGCGATTGTTGTGCCGCCTTCAGACGTGGTAGAGACTGCAGTATCCCCGATAGAGAACGCACTCGTTTGCGTTACAAGCTTCTTACTGTAGCCACTCATATGCACCCCCACCACGCCAGGCAGGTTCCCAATGACCGCATCTGAGCCCTTCATCTTGCCCTTTCTACCCGACCATCCAACGGCTATCCAGCCATCCTTGGCTATGGTGCTGCCGCGTGCTTCTATGGAGAATTTGATGGTGGTGCTAGTAGCGAGGGTCCAGTGCAGCAGCATGCTGAGAAGAGGCGGTTGTGATGGGGGGTTTGGGGGTGGGGAAGGAGGATGGGGAAAGGAAAGACGGGAAAACAGAGTTGAGGATAGAGTGGTGCCGCGAGCTTCTATCGAGACTTTTGATGGTGGTGCTGCTGGCGAGGGTTCACTGCAGCAGCATGCTAAGAGGAGGGAAGTAGGGTAGGACGGTTGGTTATAGTGGTGCCGCGGGCTTTTATGGAGAATTTGATGGTCGTGCTGCTGCTGAAGATCGAGTGCAGGAGCATGCTGTGAAGAGGAGAGGGTGGGGATATGAGGAAGGAAGATGGGGGGAAACGGGAGAGGGCGGATTTGAGGGCTGAGGATGCTGAATGTCCAGTGCAGCAGCATACTGTGAAGAGGAGGGGAGGGTTGAGGATGTGGGGAAGGAAGATGGGGGAGGAAGATCGGGGAAGGTTGGTTGAGGGAAGGGGGAAGGAAGGTTGGGAGGAAGGATGGGAGAAGGATGGGTGGAAGGTTGGGAGGAAGGATGGGGGGAAGACCACTCACATACCACACGAGACTCCCAGCCCACCCCTTCCCTGAGCATGGCCTCCCCCCAAGCTCCACTTGATAATCAAACCCCTCCAGAGCTGCCCGGACACACCACAGCCGCAGCACATGCCATGTCCCCCCCAACTCATTCATACTCTCAGCGGCCCTCCAAGCTCCACTTGATAATCAAACCCTTCCAGAGCCGACGCCGGGCGTGCCACTCCCTCAGGCCTCTGGTGTTATGTCCATTTATGAAACATTCAGGAACCACACGTGCCTGCCACTGCCATACAACTCACAGAGGCCCCCCAAGCTCCACTTCATAATCAAACCCCTCAAGAGCCGACGCGGGGCACGCCACTCCCGCAGCCTAAAGTAGGGGCACCACACCACTCACATACCACACTAGACTCACAGCCCACCCCCTCCCCTTCATTTCACTCACAGCGGCCCCCCAAGTTCCACTTCATAGTCGAACCTCTCCAGAGCCGACGCAGGGCACGCCACTCCCTCGGGCCTCTGATGCCCACTCACGAAACACACCTTTCCCTCACTACTCTGGAACCACACACACATGCGTGCCGCACAATACTCACAGCGGCCCCCCAAGCTGCACTTGGTAGTCAAACCCTTTCAGAGCCGAAGCCTTCCACTTGATAATCAAACCCTTCTAGAGCCGACGCGGGGCACGCCAATCGAAACACACAACCCCTCCCTTTCCCTTCCGCATACGCCACACCCCACTCATTCATTTCACTCACAGCGGCCCGCCAAGCTCCACTTGATAATCAAACCCCTTCCAGAGCCGACGCCGGGCACGCCACTCCCGCAGCTGGCGACGCCAGGGGAAGCAAGAAGAGGGGACGCCCACGCCCGAAAAAGGAGCAGCACTCACATACACACCACACGAGAATCACAGCCCACCCTTTTCCCCATCCTCTCACTCACAGCGGCCCGCCAAGCTCCACTTGTCAGTCAAACCCTTCTAGAGAAGAAGCCAGGCACGCCACTCCCGCAGCCGGCGGCGCGGGCGGTGGTGACGGAGTGGCGGAGGGGGAGGGAGGGGAGGGGACACCCAAGTCTGAAGAAGGAACACCAGTCAAATATCACTCGAGAACCACAGCCCACCCCCTCCCCTTTCCTCTCACTCACTTAGGCCCGCCAAGCTCCACTTCATAATCAAACCCTTCCAGAGCCGACGCGGGGCACGCCACTCCCGCAGCCGGCGGCGCGGGCGGGGGTGACGGCGTGGCAGTGGGGGGCGGAGGGGAGGCGGAGGAGGCAGGGGGGGGCGGGGAGGCGGAGGAAGGCGGGGGGGAGGGGGTGGCGGAAGGGGGAGGAGGAGAGGGCGTGGTAACGGGGGTGCCATCACAGGAAAAGTCGATGGTGGTGCTGCCGCGGTTGCCCCCGTGGCCGACGAGGGAGGTGGATGGGCCGTCGGAGTAGGCCCAGATGGTCTTCATGGGTCCGTTGGCGAATGTCACCTTGCTTCCCGTTCCTGCCGTGCGGGAAAATCTGGGGTTGGGGGGGCGGAGGGGACGGTGGGGAAACGGGTGGGTGGTGGGGGTGAAGAGGGAAGAGGTAGATTGGCCGTCGGAGTAGGCCCAGATGGTCTTCATGGGTCCGTTGGCGAACTTCACCTTGCTTCCTGTTCCCACTGTGCGGGAGAATCTGGGTGGGAAGGGAACGGGGAGGACGGAGGAAGGGGAGCGAAGGGGGAAGGAAAGAGGAGGGAAAGATGGTGAGGCAGACGGGAGGAAATGGCAGTGGGGTTGCCATCGCAGGAGAAATCGATGGAGACACTGCCGCGGTTGCCCTCGTGACCGTCCAGGGAGGTGGATGGGCCGTCAGAGTAGGCCCAGATGGTCTTCATGGGTCCGTTTGCGAAGGTCACCTTGCTGCCCGTTCCTGCAGTGCGGGAGAAGCTGTTAGAGGATTGGCGGGAAAAGGTAGGGTGGGGTGGGGAGGAACGAGGAGGGAAGGGTGAGGAGGTGGGATGGTGGATTGGCTGTCGGCCCAGGTGGTCTTCATGGGTCCGTTCCCGCTGTGTGGGAGGAGCTGTGGGGGGGAGAAGGGGGAGGGGAGGACGAGGGAGGAGAGCGAGGAGGGGGGAGGATAGCGAGGAGGGGGGAGGATAGCGAGGAGGGGGGGGAAGAGGGAAGAGGAGAGAGGAGAAGGAGGATGGGGAAGGGGAACGAGCCAAGCCAAGCCGAGCCAAGCCGAGCCGAGCCGAGCCGAGCCGAGCTGAGTGGTCGTGGTTGTGATACCGGAGCTGTCGCGGTTGTGATACCGGAGCTGTCGCGGTTGTGATACCGGAGCTGTCGCGGTTGTGATACCGGAGCTGTCGCGGTTGTGATACCGGAGCTGTCGCAGTTGTGATACCGGAGCTGTCGCGGTTGTGATACCGGAGCTGTCGCGGTTGTGATACCGGAGCTGTCGCGGTTGTGATACCGGAGCTGTCGCGGTTGTGATACCGGAGCTGTCGCGGTTGTGATACCGGAGCTGTCGCGGTTGTGATACCGGAGCTGTCGCGGTTGTGATACCGGAGCTGTCGCGGTTGTGATACCGGAGCTGTGTCGTAACTCGAAATAGTGTACGCGCCTATGGGCGCCCCCGCCTAATGCGGTATGACGCAGTGAGAGTGAAAAAAGGATAGGGGGGGGCAATAGGGCGAGGAACGTACGCGGCAACACCGGCAGAGTAAGTGTTGCGAGCCGAGGGAGAACGCGGTCGTGGTTGTGATGCCGGAGTTGTCGTAACTCGATATGGTGTACGCGCCGATGGGCACCACCGCCTTGTATGCATGCTTTCCTATGACGCAGTGACAGGGAAAAGGCGAACGTACGTGGCAATGCCAGCAGAGTAAGTGGGCGAGCCGAGGGAGAACGCGGTCGTGGTTGTGGCGCCGGCGTAGCTCGCCATAGTGTACGCGCCGATGTCCGCCCCCGCCGCGTGCGCAATCACGCAATCCGCGGGGTACATTGTCCCGCTCGTCGACCACCCCACTGCGAACCACCCGCCCGAGGCGCCTGATGACGTGGCGTGCAGCTCCATGTCGACGGTGGTCCCCGTGGTGGCTTTCCAGTGCAGCACCAGGCTGGCGGGACGTGGCAAGAAGAAGCGGGAAAGGAGGGGAGAAAGGGGAAAAGGGGGTGGCAGGAGGGAAACAACGTTAATGCCTGCAGCTCCATGTCGACGGTGGTGCCCGTGGTGGCCTTCCAGTGCAGCACCAGGCTGGCGGAGGAGGGGAGGCGGAGCGGGGGGGGCTGAATGACTGGATCCGATTTTCGACTGTTCGATTTTGCCATTTTCGACTGTCCGATTTTGCCATTTTAAGGATTCCGATTTTGCGTCGACTCAAAAATGACGCACAATATCCCGCTTTCAGTGTTTTCGACGACGAGAACCCCCGGAGGCTCGATGCGCCTTTGAGAATCCTCACAGGCGGCAAAAAACGTACCCCGCTGTCAGCGTTAGTCGATTTTTGAGTCAACTCAAAAATCGAATTCTCACAGGCGGCAGTACAAACGTACCCCGCTGTCAGCGTTTTCGACGACGTGAAGCCGCGGAGAATCAAAGCGCCTTTGAGAATTCTCACAGGCGGCAGTACAAACGTACCCCGCTGTCAGCGTTTTCGACGACGTGAAGCCGCTGACGCTCGAAGGGCTGCACGTCGCCGCCACCCTCGGCGCTCCCGACTTGTGCCGCCTCCCCTGCGCCCGCGGCGCCGGCGCGGCCGCAGGCTTCAACGTTTCCGTGCCGCCAAAAAAGAGCTTTCCTCCTTCAATTGACCCTACGGAGATGGAGAAGGGGAAAAAGGACGAAACGGCGGGCGGTGGAGGGGCGGGCGCGGCGGCGGCGGCGGAGGATGCGTAGATTGTGACTGTAACGAGCAGCGTGAGCTGCAGCGCGAGAAGATGATTGGCCATGGTGCGGACAAATGTGGTTTGAATCGGGAGGCGTCGGTGGTGGTGCTGGCGTCAGTGTGGTGCAGGCCTCAGTGGTGGTGTATTTGCATGGGAGGGCGAAAATGGGGCTGGAAGCGGGGATGCTGGGCGAAACGGTATGGTGGAGGGCGAATGGATATGGCGGAAAAACAACGGCTCTGTTGGGTTTGGCTAGGCGGTATCAGCCCCGTGACGAGGAGACGAATCTGCGACACTTTGCCAGCGACTCGCTGGAAACACCACCCAGTTCGGACGATCTTTTCCGTGAGTCGCGGTGTGCGTGCGTGCACGGCGAAGGGGAGCAATTAACTGGAAGGAATTCGGCGAACGGAGCAACGAAGCAGTGGACAAGCTGAGGGACCACCTCGGGATAGTGGGGTGGACCACTCGGAGTGGGGACCACACACACCAAATCCTTGACGAAGCAGTCAAGGACTAATTTGGAAATGAAATCTTCTGGTGCCGTGCCTTGCTTGAAGAGGAGCAAGCAAGGAGGTTGAGGAATTTGCAACAGCAGAAACAGAACCCCGTAGGTTCGGAATCAAAGAAACGCGATTCGGGAACTGGCCTGAAATGGAGGCGCATATTGAGCCGAGCCGAGAACTTGCTGACTGGGAGAAGTGTGGGCAGGTTTGGGGCGGCGGGGAAAAGCAGTAAATGACATACGTAAGGTCTAGGCTAGGACTACAGTAAAACGTTACAGACTGGATTCTTGTCTTGACGTGGTCGGCGATCAATACATTATAGCTGTAAAAGTGTAGCTTCGGTAGTTCAAGGCTCGGGATGAATATTCAACGCCAGAGAAATCCGAAGTTCGGCGATGAGTTTTGCTCGTGATTTGGCCCCTCCCCAGGTGACGCCCCAAGCTGGTACGAAGGTAGGGAGGGGCTATGGACTGTCTCTGATTGGCTACCAGAGGTTTGGAGGCGGTTAGGAGGGGGCGTCACGGCCGCCCTGTGAGTCGCCTCGCATTTTTCTGCGACCGAAACACCCTGGCGATAGACTTCGTACACACACTGGACACATGTGGAGCTCGCGAAACTCATCCGTAGTCCACACCAGTTCCACGCAGCGCCCGCTCGCAGAGACCCCACACCACCCAATCATATCACACAGCCGAACCAGCTTCACTTCGCCCAAGCACAAACCGTGTGTACCCGGCTTGCCAGCTGGACTTTAACGACTGATCATGGTTATGTGTACCGCTAACATACAAAGTGGAGTTCATCTGCATACAAATGATTTACACGCAATATAAACAACCGTATACATTAGGAGCGTTACACTAATTAGGTAAAGGTGTCGACATGTCAAATTGCTACAACGCCAGCCAGAATAAGGACAGGCTGATGTTATATGTGTATTAGATATGAATGTTCACCAGGTAACTGATACCACAACCATCAGCAAAGCACGAGAAATGCCTTAAACAGCCCACGACCCATCCTACAATTCCCCCCCCCCCCCCCCCCCCCCCCCCCCCCCCCCCCCCCCCCCCCCCCCCCCCCCCTCCCCCCCCCAGTCCCTGCCCAGCCCAAACCGTCCCAACCTCTCAAGGACTCCTCTCCTGCCACCACTCGCCAAGAGTTCGTCTGCCCCGCTGCTCCATCATAGAACCTCACTCCCGACCTCCTATTCCCAGCACCACCAGCATCAACACCAGCAGCGCCGGCACTGGCAGCACCAGCAGCTCCACTGGGTTGACCCTGGTCAACAAGCGTTGCAGTAAGGCCACCAGCAGCACCGTCAGCAGCAGCGTCGGTGGGGAGACTGGCGCCCTGCCAGGGGCTCGAGTAGTCCTTGTCAGCATCGGAGTCATCACTGTAGTCGGGCCCACCTCCCCACAGGGGCTGAGGCACCTGATAGCATGCAAAGTCCACCGCGTAGCCGCCCCTGTGGTGGGGGGGTAGGGTAGGAAGAGGGTTTTGGGAGGGAGAAGAGACAGGCGAGGTAGGGGGCAGGAACAGGGGTCAGGAATGGGGAAACACTCTTCAGAAGTAGAGCGAGTGGGGCACAGTCTGGGAAAATGGTTTTCAGGAGAACACAGCACTCCCATCACCCATGTGTAAAAAGTGAATTATTGAGACGTCTCAGAAATTCACCTTTTACACAAATGGAGGAGTAGAGCGAGTGGGACACTGTCTGGGACAACAGTTTTCAGGAGAACACAGCACTCCCATCAACCCCACCTCTCCCATTCCCAGCACTTGCATATCCCCCATCACTCACTCCCCACCGCACCCATCACTTACTGGTTCATGCCGTGGAAATAGAGCGTCTTGGACACTGTCTGCGCAAACGCCCAGATGAGGTAGCTGGTGGTGTTGAGCTTCAGAGACACCCCCAGCAACCCAAGCACCCCAAGCATCCTCGGGACCCGAGCAAGACTTACTGGTTCATGCCGTGAAAATAGAGCGTCTTGGAGACGGTCTGCGCAAATGTCCGGATGATATCCCCATACTCACTGGTTCATGCCGTGGAAATAGAGTGTCTTGGACACCGTCTGAGCAAACGCCCAGATAAGATAGCTCGTGGTGTTGAGCTTCAGAGGCACGTTCCCCGTGCCCACGCTCATGTAGAACGCACCCACACCCACCCCCAGCACCCACGCCCACCCCCAGCACCCACTTACTGGTTCATGCCGTGGTAATAGAGTGTCTTGGACACCGTCTGAGCAAACGCCCAGATAAGATAGCTCGTGGTGTTGAGCTTCAGAGGCACGTTCCCCGTGCCCACGCTCATGTAGAACGCACCCACACCCACCCCCAGCACCCACGCCCACCCCCAGCACCCACTTACTGGTTCATGCCGTGGTAATAGAGCGTCTTGGAGACCGTCTGCGCAAACGCCCAGATAAGATAGCTCGTGGTGTTGAGCTTCAGAGGCACGTTCCCCGTGCCGACCGTGCGACTAAACGTGATTGAAGTCCCGCCCTCACTCGTGGTTGATACCGCCGTGGTCCCGAGGGAGAATGCAGTCGTCTGCTGGATGTTTCTTAAACGGTAGCCGTTCATGTAGAACGCACCCACGCCGGGGAGGTTCCCGATGACTGCATCTGAGCCCTTCATCTTGCCCTTTTTGGACGACCATCCGACGGCCATCCACGCGTCCTTGATGATTGTGTTGGAGCGGGCTTCGATGAGGAAATCAATGACCGTGTTGGAGGCAAACTTCCAGTGGAGGAGGTAGCTGGAGAGGTGGAGAGGGGTGGAAGGTGGTGGAGAGGGGTGGTGTGGAGTAGAGAAGAATAGAGAGGGGTGGAGAGGGGTGAAAAGGGTGCTTTTGAGCCATCCACGCGTCGTTGATGATGGTGTTGGAGCGGGCTTCGATGAGGAAATCGATGACCGTGTTGGAGGCAAACTTCCAGTGGAGGAGGTAGCTGGAGGTGGAGTGCGGTGGAGGGGGGTGGGGAGGGGTGGAGAGGAGTGGAGAGGGGTAGAGAGGGGTGGAGAGGGGTGGAAAGGGGATTTAAGTCATCCACGCGTCCTTGATGATTGTGTTGGAGGAGAACTTCGAGTGCAACACGTAGCTGGGGGTGCAGAGAGGTGAAATTGGTTGGAGAGCGGTGGAGTGGGGTGGAGAGGTGTGGAGAGGTGTGGAGAGGTGTGGAGAGGGGTGGAGAGGGGGTGAAGAGGAATGGGGAGGGATGGAGAGGGATGGAGAGGGTTTGAGAGGCGTGAAGAGGGGTGAAGAAGGGTGAAAAGGGTGGAGAGGGTGGAGAGGGGTGGAGAGGGGTGAAGAGGAATGGAGAGGGGTGAAGAGGAATGGTGAGGGGTGGAGAGGGATGAAGAGGGGTGAAGAGGTGTGAAGAAGTGTAAAAAGGTTGGAGAGGGTAGAGAGGGGTGGAGAGGGGTGGAGAGCAGGGGGGACATGAGGGAAGGAGGAAAGAACTACAGGCCCCACCCACACACACTCACACATTCTCTCCCCAAGCCACACACACACCACAATCACTTGCCGCTGCCCAGCGGTAGCTGGTACTCGTATCCCGAGAACGTGGACGCGGGGCACAGCACGCCCTTGGTGGGCGGAGAGGAGGAGCCAGGGGGGAAGGAGAGGGGGCGGGGGAAGGAGAGGGGGCGGGGGGATGGGAGTCACTCCCACACACACCTACACACAACCACCCCCCACTCACTTGTCACTGCCCAGCGGTAGCTGGTACTCGTATCCTGAGAACGTGGACGCGGGGCACAGCACGCCCTTGGAGGGGGGAGTGCCGCCGCCAGAGGGGGGCGGGGGAGAGGGCGTGGTGGACGCGGGGGGAGGCGGGGGGGAGGGGGAGTCGGTGGAGGGGGCGGGCGCGGGCGCCATGACGGTGGCGTCCCCCGTCATGAGGCCGTTGCAGGAGTAGTCCACCTGCGCGGAGCCACTGGGGGGAGGCGGAGGGGGGGGGGGGGGGGCGGGGAGAAAGGTTGGGGGGAGTCACTGAATGTGTGGGCGCGGGCGCCATAACAGTAGCGTCCCCCGTCATGAGCCCATTGCAGGAGTAGTCTACTAGGGCGGAGCCACTGGGGGGAGGGAGCGCACGCACACAGAGAGGGGAAGGGGGGGAGAATGTGGGGGTTCAGGGCGCGGGCGCAATAACGGTGCTGTCCCCCGTCATGAGGCCGTTGCAGGAGTAGTCCACTAGAGCGGACCCACTGGGAAGGGGATGGGGGTGTAAGGGGGAATGGGAAAACATGCAGAATGCGAGGGCGCGGGCGCCATGACGGTGGCGTTCACCCGCGAATTCCCCCGCGATTTCCCCCCGCGATTTCCCCCTTCCCCAATTTCACTCCGCTTCTCGTCCCCATTCTAACACGTCCCCTCCCCTGCCCCCCCCCCTCTCCCGCCTCCGTCCCGTTCCGCCCTTCCACCAACCCCCGTTCTCCCCTCCCCCGTTCTGCTTACGCTGGCGTGGGGTTGCTCCCCATTGGCTGCCCGTCCCGGCTCGGGTAGAACCAAACCAAGTTCATAGGTCCGGACGACTGGAACGTCACCGAGCCTGTCCCCTCGGTTCGGCTAAACCTGAGAAAGCGAAAACAAACAGAGAGAAGCACAGATGCACCGAGGCGCGAGATTCGACGTCAGAGATTGCACGGGAAAAGAGCAGGGAGCTGCCATAGAACGTACACTTTTAAAAAATGGCGATGTGGGCGAAATGGCGAAACTGGAACATTGGCGAAACGGCGAAATGAGGACTTCGAACGATGCCGTTTCGCAGATAGCTAGCGACGCGTGGTGAACCTTCGACGCGTGGTGAACAATGCGATGGTGCTGTCGCCGAAGCCCACAGGCCCGGCGCTCCCGATGTCACCCGCGCGGCGGCGCCATGCGGTTGCGCCTGTTCCCGAGGAACCTAACCTAACAATGCGATGGTGCTGTCGCCGAAGCCCACAGACCCGGCGCTCCCGACGCTGGGACCATTGAGTCGACTTAAAGTCACGCGGCGCGATGAACTCACAATGCGATGGTGCTGTCGCCAAACCCGACGGATCCGGCGCTCCCGATGTTGAGCGTGCTCGTTTGCGCCAGAATGGTCATGCGCGTCTCGCCGCCCTGCATCTGCGGCGCGGTGACGCTCAGCGTCGTGAACGCCTTCACTTCGCCGTTCGCGACGTTCGCGAAAACCGCGTCGGTTTTGACGCCGTTCTCGACGGCGGTCCAGCCGACGCCGAACCAGCTCTTGGCTCGGGTCGGATCGGCCTCGAGGGCCATTTGAACCACCGAGCCTGACGAAGCGCGCCAATGGTAGACGAGTCTGCGCAAAGAAAGGGGGTGGGGAGAAGACGGAAGAAAGGGGAGGGGCGGGAGGGAGAGGAGAGAGCGGAGATTAGGAGATAAGTATTTGCCAAATGCTACGAAGAAAGAGTGGGTCGTCACGTCACATCATGTGGTATTTCCTCCGCCGAGGCGACGGATCTTATTGAAACATCTAAGACATTTCTTGCATATTTCGGTGTACTCGTTAAGGAACCATCACTGTCGCGTACTAGAGGTAATTTTCTAGTCGACTCAATATCACCTTCGTGTAAAAAACCCCCACTAGCGCGTTTCAGAATACGTCGAGACATGCGAGGCGCGAGAAAATGCATCCCCGAATGTATGCTGACGCGAGTTTTGAGACGCCAAAAATATCGAGTAAACGCGAATCGGAACATACCCTGGCGCGAGGACCTTCGACGAGGTAAACCCGCTGGCTGCGAGCGACGATGGGCCGCACTTGGCGGCGCTGTCATGCTGCGCGGGCGGCGGGGGCGGGGAAGGCGGAGGCGGAGACGGCGGAGGCGGAGACGGAGACGGGGACGGCGGCGGAGGCGAAGGCGGAGGCGGGCTGGCGAAGTGGAGGTTTCCGCGGGTGATGGAGCCCTGGCTGAGGAACGGGAAGAAGAACGAGAGCGCCGCCGACGGAGGCGGAGGCGGAGGCGGAGCGTTTTTGGCGGCGAGCGCGGTGTGGGAGTGGACGAGAAGCAGCGCGAGCACCATCGGAAGCGCGGCCCTTGTTGCGCGGAGGTTTGCGTGGCCCGCGCACGCGGCGCTGGCTGACGTGGCGGCCATGTGGAGAGTGGGTTGTTTGGCGGCGGAACGAATGGACGTCGAAATGGATGGAGGGAAGTCGGCTGCACCGAAAACGCTATGCGCGCTCCGGGAGGAGGGGCAGGAAGAATGGGTTATCCTGCAAACTGGGGCAAGGAATCCCAACTTCTTCAGGAGTTTGCTGGGAGGAAATGGAATTATGGGGTGCTTCTTGTATGGGGAACTCCTCGTGGTTTTGTGGGGTGCGAGTGCAGCAAACAAACATGCTGTCTGTCACAGAGACGAAGGGGCACCAACAGAATTTCGGTTCAGGGAGATTGACAAATTCGGCTTGTCGGAGGGGGGCGGTTGGGGCGCGCCGCGGGGAGAGGGCGGCGGGGTGATTCGCGAGAAATGATTCGCGGAGCGGAGCGGAATCGTCCCGCAATCTTGCGGGCGGGGGGACCAAAACAGGTGCCGTGCCGTGCCACGCTAGGAAGAATGTTCGGCGGGGAATAATGAAGAATGGGGGAGGCGGGATGGGGGAGACGGGGGTGAAGTGATGTGCTGGGTCCTTGGCGCACCAGGTTGTTTGCAACAGAGGCGTGTCGGGATGGGGGCTGGGCAGACTCATCCGTGATTTTGATTGGTGAAAAGTGGGGCTTGTGGGGGGCAAGCAGACACAGTCAGCAGCGACTCGGTAGTTCAGGGCGCATCTGGGGTTAGATTCCCCTTGCTACTGTAAAGCGGCGGCGCCCAGGGCTTGAAGGACTAGGTGCACTGAAATGTTGCAACTGGAATTGTAGTGTACGAAAGAATTCATCAGTTACGAGAAACTTTCGCGAATGATGAACAGCCAATAGTTTTCTGGCA